GTTGGTGAAGATGGTGACACTATTTGGTCTTTTGTTCATGGAGTTCCTTTCATCATAACACCTACCTCCATTGCTGGAGCTATCAACCGTGTCCAATCTCAAATCACGATAGAAGATTTTCATCTGGACTATTTCTTTATTGAGAAACTCATTGTCATTCATGATTATTCTCTTCCTAGATATGAATCTTACAATCCTAAAGGGCTCCTTCCCACTGCTAGAGTATGGTTTCAACTCCTACTAACCAACTTTCGTCCTCGAGGAGTGGCCAAGGATGTTCTGTCTCATGATGACATACTCTTTATCTACTTTCTGATGTACAACGCTCAGGTCAACTTGCCTCAAAATATCTTCAATCATCTGAAGTATTATATTGAAGTTTCCAGAATTCAGCACAAGTCCTTCATTCCTTATGAAAGAATTCTGTCTGAGTTGTTCTTCAAGGCTGAAATAATTGGATTAGCCAAAAGTCTTGGACCGGACAATGTTGTGATTGAAGAAAGATGTGAAAGAGTTGATAAGGTGCAGGATTTTTGATGCTTACTGGGCGGGTGATCTTGTTGGTGTATCAGAATATGTTCTTTAAGTTTATGTGTTTTGTTAACCATCTTATTTGTGTGTATTGTCTGTCTTTTGTTTGATCATGTCCTTGTAACTCGGTTGAACTTCATTAATGAGCTTATTTTTCGGTTGGATATGATTGATGTTGCTTATGATACACTAAGTCTCAGAATCTTTAGACCCACATATTATCTTTTTGTTGCATCTGAGTTCATATTATTGCATATTTTCTTTTTGATTGCTGACAAAAAAGGGGGAGAGAAAGTATTGATTTTGATATATCTAATTTCTGTTGAATCAAGCCCAAACATTTCACATATTTGCACTAACACTTGTTTAAAAGGATAGTATGTTAGTTGTTCTCTTTTAGGAAAAACTTACTATATATCATAAACACCTAAAAAATCAAAACAGAACGTATGAAGCCCAAACTCTGAAGATATGCTAACTTCTTAAAAATCCTAATCATCTTGAGTGAGAAAAGACTTCAAAGATTATTCAAGTTTATCCAACTAATCAAAAGTAACACTCATCAGAAGTTGATATGCGTTGTTGTATATTAAATCCTTGTCAAAATGCTTAACAACAGTAAGGACAAGTTCAAGAAACTTCTGAAAGATAAACCAGTTCTTTTGAACAGAAGGTTCATCTACTCCAACAAAAGGTTAATTAGGGAAATGTTCTTTCATTCTTATTATCTTTTTAGAGTTGATCCTCTCAGGGGGAACTTTGTGCTTCTTTCTGATATATGTTTTGGTGATTACCTGACAAAAATTGTTCATTAAAATACAGTGTTTTATCATCATCAAAAAGGAGAGGTTGTTAGAACAAGATTTGGTTTTGCATTTGTATCTCTAAGTTTTGATGATAACAAGTCAGTATTTATGTGAGAACAATTTTGGTACCCTAACGGTTTGTTATTGTGTATCTTTAGCAAACAACTTTGATTCAGGCTCTTAAATGTGAAACATTACAAGTTTCCGAATATATTGATCTAAATTGCTTCTGCTCAAAGTCACAAATAAGAAGCTTCTAAGAAAACTGTATATTGCTGCTGCAACGTTCTCTTGGCTCTTACTTCTGACGTATGACTATGATCAATTCGCTTTTGAAGTCTGCTCAAGTTTTTGAAGATTAAACGCTGAAGGTTCTAAAAACTCTGAAGAATCTCAAGTTAGATATTGATGTGATTAAGCTTCTGATTGATGATTGAAGTTTCGAAACTCAAGCAAAATCAAATCTTCTAACTCATGCTTCAAACAACGATTTATCCAGAAGCCACTGAAAACTAGAAGATAAGAACGAGTTTATACGTGGGAAAAATAGTACATGGTACAGACTAATATTCCTTCAACTAAGCAGATTTCCCGGAGAGAAAATTAAGGTAGTACGATTCTTGTCTCCTCTGTATTAAACCGTTACTCAAGTCGCCAGCTCATTCATGGAGAATACCAGATCTACCCTTCAACGGATCTTTTTTACTGGCTATATAAAGACTTGAAGAATTCAAGAACACACACGCGTGCAAGACTGTTGTCTAAAGTTATGCATAATTTTCGTTAAGTGTATTGTGTTTTTAACTTGTTTATATCTATTTGTATAGAAGCAATCTTTGTAAACACAACTTTGTAATCAAACTGTTGTTTGTATTTTCTTAAGAGACCAGTTAGGTTAGAATCCTTGAGAAGACATAGACGGTGTGTCTTTGTGGTTTGTTAATCACCAGCGGTTGCTAGTGCAGTTGTAATCAGTTGATTATAGTAGATTAAGCCCTTGGGTATAAGGCGAAATCACCTTGGCGGATGGACTGGATTAACTTTGAGTTTTTCAAGTGAACCAGTATAAAATCGAAATATATTTCTCTTTGTTGTTTAATAGCGGTGTTTTTTTATTGAGTGAGTAAAAAGTTTTTATTTTTGAAAACCCCAATTCAAACCCCTCATTTCTTGTGTTTTTCTCACCTTCAGCTTCCGCCTTCATTTTCTAATTGAATTCTAGTATGAATTTAAGGGTTTAGAATTCTGTTCTTAATTTCTATTTCAGTAGAAATCATAAGGTTTTGAACGGATCTAATAATTAATTTTTTATAGAAATGTTCATTTATAGTAATATTTCCTTCAAACAATACCTTTCATGTTGATTTTTCAATCACTTTTTTTGAGTAATCTCTTTGATTAAGATAATGTAAATTCTTTGAGTGCCCTTGAATTATCGCTAAAAATACAACAATAATATAAGGTCTACTTGCGATGGTGACAAAAGACTATATTCATGTTATTCTATAAAATTAGTGAATTGTTCTCCTTCGATATGGGATCAGGCATTTATAGAAGATTCTTTAAGTGTGGGCTATAAAAATTATAAAATGAACTATTATAAAATCGGAAGAATATAAAATATAGCAAGAATATAAATAAGCCTATGGTATCAAATAATGTTATCATAATTTTTTTCGCCTCTCTCTCCCTATGTTTTAAATTATAAATTGTTTTATTAAATTAAAATACTATTGATATTTTTTTCTATTCTATTTTATATTATTATTATTATTTATTTTTATTGATTCTTTAATTGTTACTTTGACATTAGTAAAAAACAATTTTATAAAATCAACTATAATTTTTTTCACAAGGAGTGGTTTAAACTAAAAGAGGGAGTGAAACAGTGCAAACAAACCATGAGATTGATTTGGACGGTTGATAATGTTTCAGAGAATATAATTATTTGTTTTAGGCGAGAATACAAGAAATGCTTATCACATTTGGACTGGCACAGACATACTGGCTTGCACAGGTTCTTGGGAAGAAGACTAATATGTTGGCACCACATCTGGCTCTGAGGCTTGATGTGTCGCCTCCGCCTGCTCAGAGGATCATGATCGTTGATTCAAGTCAGAGGGATTGGGGGAAGTTTCCAGCAGGTGAAGAAGTTAATAGTATATATAAAAAGCAGATTGAGTTGGTTGTGCAGGGTGTTGGATTAGTTAGAGATTGTCCACCTGCTTATTCTGAATTTTATAAGCTCTATGGTTTGGATATACAAAGTGTTCTAAAAAGTGAAATAACTGAAGCAGCAGATACACTGATGCCAGCAGTATGTGGTTATTCCAAACCAGGGCATGGTGATAAAGGTACAGCTATGGCTATGAGTCTCAAAACTGTGAGCAGGGATAATCGAGTAATCACTGAATGGTGGGCCAAGAAGTGGAAGAAGGACCTTGGTTCAATGAAAAAAGAAGCAAGGAAAGCAGTTCCAACATCCGATATTGTCCACTTGGGTTAAGTTAAAGTATATGTTTTGGTGAAGTCTACCTTTACTGGCTAAATTTTCAATGTTAATCTTCTACTATCTATTTTCTGAAAATCAGTCCTTCATTTTATTAAAGAATCTTGGTTGAATGTTATCGAAGAACAATGTTATTAGCCGTTTTGCAATACTGTCAACTTATGGATGTTGTGGTTCTTTACCTGAGTTTTTGGTTGTGACTATGTTGTGCATGATTGAATTGAATGATTCGATTATTCCACATATAGCCGTTTTTTATTATTCAACATATATGATTTGGCAAATTCTATATTGTATATTGGTGACCAAAACTTTTAATTTAGATCTCAATTCTTAACTAATCCACTTATACATTCATTTAAGAACTTATTTACTAATAAACGCTCACAGACCAGTAGGATTTCTAGATCTTTCATAGTTAGTCCCAGTGGTGAGTGAGTGTATTTCTTTTAGGTATCCATTTCATTTTGCCATTAGGAATGCTACATGTCTTGAGGGACTGTCCTCAAAATTAAACTAATTTTTAAATAAGGATCTTTTTAAGCAACAGACAGCGTCACTTTACCCGATAGCCCCTAAATATCATCTTAAAATGTTTTTATTTCTTTCCAAGACCTCGAAGAAAACTGTTGGCATTTGGTATACTGGATGCGATTTGCTTACATTTTATAATATAAGTGCTTAATAATATAAGCATTTATGTATAAACTTTGCATAAGCTACATTTATAGAAAATGATAAATAAATTCAAATAAGTTAGTATGAGGAAACCCTTGAACCTTAATTAAAGCTTATTCTAGATATATACTAATTGGTGATTTTTATTTTCGCTTTCCTTTTGACCTATTTTGGGTGTCTGGAGAGAAAGTTGGCTTGAATATTGCATTCTTATAAGAGAAATTGGATTATAAAAATTGTATTCTTTTAGTATTAATAACAATGGAGTGTATTATTGATCATCATCAACAAGAAGCGTTTGCATCTTCATATATGTATACATACATACACACACGATTTATCATCTATAATATGATCAAACAGGAATCACTATTATATCTTGAGAAGCAACAGAGACTCCTGTCATTACTCGGAATAGAACCACTAATTATAATTGGCATGTACCAAATATGAATGATGTAAAATGATCATACATTTTAGCGCATATGATGCCTTAGAGTCTCTTTCGTACCGCGCCGTATTTTACAGCGTATGGTGGGTAGTCCAAGTCGTTGGTGAGCCTCATACCGGTGACAGCCGGAGAAACCTACAGCCACCAAAGTAACATAATATATCCATTGTGATTCCACTGCAAGCATGGATCTTGGAAATCATATATGATAAGATGTCATACACAATTCAAAAGAGCACATACCATAATAGTTTCCGTCAACCTCGAGCACGTCGATCTGCATCATTTAAAAGGAACTTCAATTAGCAGCCGAGCAAGATATAAATTCCAAAATAAATTTGCAGAAGAGAGTAAGTGTTTGTTTACAGGCACTTGAAGACCAATTTGAGAAATACTATCCATGAGTTCTTGAACTTTGATTTGATCATTTGATCTAGTCCTCATCAAAGGTCTTCTTATCTTATCTAAAGGAAGCTCAATTATCACTGGACCCCCACCCTTATCAGAAGAACTGCTTCCAGAAACAGCCCCTAATTTTTAAAACTATTAATTTTAAGTTAAATATAAAAATTGGAGAAGAAATAAATATATAAAAATTTAATCAACGTAAAATTAGAGAGAGATATGCACCGTTGGAGTTGGATGAAGCAGACACACTAAAACTCCTCAAAGGAATTGGAACCTGCAGAACAAAATTCGCCATTTTTTCCTTCTTTGCAACAAATAATTTTTGTGTGTGATTTTATTTATAGACAAAAATATTGAGAACGTGAATAAATGTGATAGGCTATCAATGACAGCATGGCCCACACCATTTTCAACGGCTAAGATTCATCTTTTACAAAGCTACTCGAAAGGAGTGTCTACATAGAATTCGCATCTACGAAGGGTAAATGATTTTACCTAAAAATTAATCTCAATTTAACCGATTTCTGAGTCACTTGATTCTAGGAACCATGGCAGCGACGGTTCCTTTCTCTCTCATTAGGTACTTTAATCGGTATTCACTCTTCATTCATATACGTGTATGTGTGTTTGTGTGTGTGAAATTTTGAAGTGTGTGTTTTGAATAATGGCAGGAACTATTCGCAATTGGTGTCTACAAGAGCTTTTCTTGTAAAAGCGAACAGCTACAATTTCTCCAACTCTGTTCTTCCTCTCCATAGTCGTAGGTAATTTTATTTTGTAAATACTAGATGTTTTGAAACTTTGTTTATATACAGAGTTGAACTGCTTAGTGTTCCCTTTGGGAACTAGAAATATACAATGAAGTGATGGAATAAAGGGAGAGGGGGTTGACATGCATGGGTAATATTCCAACACCTAAGTTAGTGAATGAATAACAAAAACAAAAAAAGTAGAGTAAGTTATAGCTAGAAGAAACCTCAGGTCTTAGGTCTCACGTGAGATATCTTGTATACGAGGGATGATTAGAGATGCCCTATGCTTCCCGGTGTGGAATGTGGAAAACTGTTAGATAATATCAAACTGTGAATAACCGTTCGTGGCGTGGATCGAGTACATATCTCAAGGTTGTGGGTGCACTGTACCTTAAACACCTTATGACTGATGATTGGGCCGCCTCGTTATTGAGCCTTTGGCCGGTCCAAACAGTTGCCCCCAAGACTTCCATAATGCAACAATGAGAAGTTTTTCAAGATAGCAGGTCGACGTCGCCCTAGGCCAGGATCTTTGCGGCGAGTTCTTTGTTCACAGAAGTGGAAAAGATTTAGAAAGCTGGAGTGAGTGACCTTAGGAACAGGTGCATTAAATGTCAATCTCATTATCATTGAGATGCTTCGCAAGATTGTTTTTACACGTGGCCCCCTTGGGGTAGAGTGTAACTCTCTACTTTAGGGTGCCAAATATACTTGATTGTTGTTGTAATCTCGAGCAAATCTGACTGTTGTTTTTCATCTGCTTGTTTCCCTTCATTTTGATCGTTGATTTGTCTATAATGATCCACTATATAAAGGTTATTTCATCTTTTAGGGTGTGTTTCCACTCTTTGCGCGAACTGTAATTTTTCTCTTCTCTTCGCACTCCCTTGGTTTGTCGCACCTTCAGAGCGACCATTTGTTGTATCTTTTCCTTCAAACTTCCATTTTTTTCCTTGTACCACTTCTATCCTTCTTATTTTTAGTTATTTTCTCTCCTTTGTTTTAGCCATGGACAATGTAGGAGATGAAGATGTGAATGTCATAAAACTATCTAGGGCGTTGATATAAGTGATTCTTCATCTCACACTAGAGTAGTATCTTTTCTACAAGATCGATAATCACATTTTACTTCTTTACATTGCATTGAAAGACGGTTGGTGATTAGGATGAGATCTTGGTGGAACAACTTCTTGCACATAATAGCTCCATAATTTGCTAATGGGAAGATCAAGTACCAACGAAGTTTAGCAGACCTAATTGATTACAACTATCAATGGATATAGTTATACGTAGAGGTGTAAATGAGCTGAGCTATTTGTACAATATTCGTGTTTGGTTCGTTAAATACTAAATCAAGCTCGATCCTTATACGCTTGATATTAATGGCTCTTGAGTAGCTTGATACATACTAGTACTACTACATGACTACTTACTAATGCTCCAACTTCTTAGTCCATACTAAAAAAACCCTAGGCCCAAAACTAAATCATTTTGTTCGGCCGTTGTAACTACTGAATAAGTAAAACCTAAAATTCATTGTTACCAGGCAGGCTGATCTATTTTTTGAAATCAAGTCGTTACCAGACATGCTGATCTAACTGTTGGATGAATACGGTAAAATGTAATACTATTTCCAAAACTTATTCATCTATGTGCTGTCTATTGGGAATATACATGCTCAACTGTTAAGCGTAGCAAAAAATATACAAGTTTATTGTCATCTAACACCAACTTTTGGATTTTGGTACATCTTGTTGACAACTAGAATATGTTTTGAAGTTATATGCTATTTGGTTGCTATTATTTTTTCTCTCCCTCTTATTTGGAGTAGCTTTAGTTGTTGACTTATTGTGAATTGATATGTTTGTTGACATTTTGCTTATTTATTACAGGTTGCGTTTTAGTGCCTGTGCTGCAAACAATGAACAAGCAGCAGCCAGAGCAGCTGCTATTAATGCTGATAGTGGTGCTCCAACAATGTATTGTATTTTAACATGATCCTGCTATTGTCATTGAATGCTTATCATTCTGAAATATGTTTTGTCTTCAAAATCTATTATCACTAGCAAACATGGGAATCTTCAAAATCAATGAACATTAAAAGATTTAATACTTCTTTTTTGCATTGAATAACATTGTCATCGTTAAAACCGAAATAAAAGGGGCATTAATCTAATTGTCAGGTAGTAATTTCCAAATTATTCAACCAATTTTGAAGACATGTAGCACCCTTTCTCTTTTTCTAAGCTTTAACACAGACACGCACAATGATTCTATTTTATTTTTCTCTGCAGATTTGACAAGATCATAAATAAGGAAATCCCTTCTAGTATTGTATATGAAGATGAAAAGGTCCTCGCCTTTCGGGACATCAGTCCACAAGCTCCAGTTCATGTTCTGATCATTCCAAAATTCAGAGATGGATTAACAGAGCTTGGGAAGGTCACCAATCATCTTGTTCTATAAGTACATTAACTCAAGGCTTTTAGTTTTTATATGTACCAATTTATTTATGGTAAAAAGAGTGTAAGAAAACTTAATTCTTCACTTTCTAGTTGATTATGAGATTTTTTTTGGTTCGCTTTGACCAAGTTATTTTGAATATTTCATTGCATAGTAATAATAGCAGGGAGCATTTTGATCTGACGTGCAAAAATAAATCTCCATTCACAGGCTGATGCTAGACACGGGGAGATACTCGGTCAGCTTCTCTATGCAGCAAAAATAGTAGCTGAGAAAGAAGGTATCGCCGATGGATTCCGTGTTGTTATTAATAGTGGTGCCAGTGCATGTAGGTTCTTTCTCTTCTCAAAACCTTTTCTCTTGCTAATAATGGAATGGTACCTTGTTTGCTCTGTCCCATTAATCTCTTTTTCTTTTTCTGATCAGGCCAAAGTGTGTATCATTTGCATTTGCATGTTCTAGGTGGGAGACAGATGAATTGGCCACCTGGTTAAAGGTTGAAAGTCAATCCTTGTTGGTTCCTGCAGAACTTTGAAGTGATTGAATGAGAAATGTTTTTTGTTTTTGAAAAACCTAAAGTTATCCTTTAAAATAAGTACTGCTATTGTGGGACAAAATTAGTGAAATCAGGAGTCGAACTCATATCTCTCGGCTATATGAAGATGAAGGATGTTATGGCTTTCTTCCACACCTATTAAGATCCACCACTTGTCATTGGTTTTTGTGTTTTATTAGCATTTTTGATGAATGAAATAGTAGTGATTAATCAGCTCAAAATTTTTAATTTATCGAACAACTTCTCATGCGACAATGTCTTTGATCCGCGGTTCTTTTTTTCCATTCAAATACACTAACGTCACACCAACCAAATCACATCAAAACACTTCTTTGGCCCTTTTAAAATAAGTGAGGATCACATAATTGAAGGGTTTAGAGCTGATATTGTTAGATAGGGCAAAAGAAACATATAACCACTTAATTGTTACTGAACACATCTTCAAAAATATCATAGTCGGAAGAAAGGTGATTAGAGTTTTCTTATAATTACATCATTTTAAATATGTCAAATGGAAGGAACTAAAATATTAGGTAAAATACATTTTTTTTTTCCTTTAATTTTATTTCGGAGTTTAATTTGGTCCTTAGTTTTTTAAATGTTCAAATCAATCCCTTAATTATTTAAAACGGGTCACGTTTGTCTTTCCGTTAGTTTTTGTTAGTGAGGGTTTAGAAAGAATGTCCATGTGGCTTTGACGTGACATTAACATGTTATATGTTATGGTATTGTGAAACTTGTCATTTTAAAAAAGGCAAGTGAAGATGACAAACTCGTGTAGATAAAGGTTGAAGGTGAAAAGCATTGTTTCATAAAGCATTTGAGTTCGAGCGAAAGGTTGAAGAAGTCGTTGCAAACAGGCTAGAAAGTTGTTCCTTTGTATGAGTTCTACATGTTTTCAATCCGAGAATTTAGAGTTTCGTTAAAAATTAGGACTTTGCATGTTTTCTAACTTTTTCAATTAGGGTTTTTAATAATATCGATTCTGAACTGAATAGGTGTAATGGGGGAGTTTATAGTACTAAGAATTCATCATAGTGGTGAATTCATTGATGGCTATCTTAGAGTCTATGAAAGAGGGAAAGTTGATGAATTTAAAGTAGATGTGGACAGATGGAGTTACTTTGAGTTGATAGGTACACTGAAAGACTTAGGTTATAGAGATTATGAGAAAATCTATTACAATGATCCGACATTTAGGATGAATTTATTGAATGATGATGCAGGAGCATTAAAAATAGTTGATCTTTATAGGGTTCAACTAAGTGTAGACATTTACATTTAACACAAACTTGATCAACCTGATTACTATGATGGGCCTATAGAAGCAAAGTTAGGAAATGGTGACAATGTAAATGAGGAGCCTGATGTGGTCGAATAAGTGCTTTCTAAATTATTTGAAGAAGCAGTCAATGAAAATGATACGTTCAAAGAAGCTGAAAATGTTGGTTTGGATGGGCCTATAGAAGCAGAATTGGATGCTCAAAATGTTGGTTTGGATGGGCCTACAAAAGCAGAATTGAATGCTTAAAATGTTGGTTTGGATGGGCCTATAGAAATAGAATTGGATGCTCAAAATATTGGTATGGATGCACATAGTGTTCGTATGGAAGGTGGTGAGATGGATGATGTTATAAGTAGTGATGATAGTGAGGATTCTTTGTACAAGTATGACAGTGCTCTAAGGTAGATTTTGATGATTCTTCTGATGGTTGTGATGATATAGATGAAGATGAGTTGGCAAATCTACTTGAACATGATCAGCTTGAAGAGGGACAGTCCAAAAAACAAAAAGAGAAATGATAAGAAGACAATGGTGAATTTAAAGTGAGTGATAATAAAAGTGATGAGCTAGTGAGTGACCGTGATAGTGATGATAGTTGTGGTAAGGCTCACCCAATGTTTAAGATGCAAAAGGACATGGTTGATTTCAAATGGGGGATAGGTGTGTACTTTAGTTCAAAAGATGATTTCAAGGAGGAAATAACATCATATGATGTCCATAGTGGTAGAAATCTTAAGTTTAGTAAAAATGACAAGGTAAGGGTGAGGGTAAAATGTAAGAATGGGTGTGATTGGGAAGCTTATTGTGCCAAATTGTCAAATGAAGGAACTCGGCAATTAAGGAAGGTGAATGATGTACATAATTGTAGCAGAGGTTATAATGTGAAGCTGATGACTACCAAGTGGTTAAGCAAGAGGATCCAAAACTCTTTAAAAACTAATTCTATGATGAAAATAAAGGATATAAAGGTAAAGGCACAAAAAAAGTACATTGTAGGTGCGAACAAAACTAAGGCAATAAGAGTAAGGTTTAAAGCTAGAGATTATGTTGATGGATCATTCTTAGGGGATTACACCAGAATATATGATTATTGTCGTCAGTTGTTGAGAGCAAACCCAGGATCCATAGTGAAGCTTGGTGTTGAACCTGCTCAAGAGGGTTCAAATGATCAAAACCATATTTCAAAAGGTTATACATATGCTTTGCTGTATGTAAGAAAAGCTTCAATTTTTTTAGGCATTCCATAGTTCTTTGACGTTGTAGACCTATGAAGAATAGTCGTGTCTCCACAATGACAACTCGGTTTCTATGGAAGATTTGAGCTCGTGAACACACTGGAGTTCAGACTTTCATGGCTGTTTTGTTTCATGGGTGATGAAGCATAACCCGATTTCATGGAGGATGAACCCTAATCTTCAATTTTTGGGAATCAAAATCAAATTAACATGACAAAACTCTATGAAGGAAAATGAAGGAAAGGAAAAAGAAAGAGATGGTGTTGAAATAGAGAAATGGAAAAGAAGAAGACAAGTCATGTCATCTGCCACGTCTGTAGCCCCTAACGTCCGTTTGGAGTAAATAGACATAAATGACTCATCTGCTCCATTTTGAACAATTAAGGGATCGATTTGAACATTTTAAAAATTAAGGGATCAAAATGGATCCTGAAATAAAGTTAAGGGACGAAAAAGGATATTTTGTCAAAGTATTATGTCTATCTAAATTAGTCTTAATCAGAAGTATGATATTAATAAATTTTCAAACAAAGAAACTTTTAAGAAAACAAAGTTATTTCAAATAAGTTGCTTAGGCACCGAAAAATCTTATCCCACACATAACAGGACTCTCTAGGATTTTCCTCCCTTCCCATATAAATAGGTGTTGGTACCACCTCCACCGCCACTCTACCACCGCAACATGTTAATCTCAATCATTGAACATTACTATGTATCGATAACTCATCAAAACAACATACTGTTTGCATCATCAACTGGTCTCATAACATTGTCTTAAACCAGCCATTTGGGTTTATAAAAGTTTGTTCTCTAACACCAATCAAGTTCTTCGACCACCTTGATATCATACTCCTCTTGTCCAAAGTTTTGTCCTATTCCACCCCTTTTTTTTAACAATTTTTGTGCTTAATAGTGGTAGAGGTCGTTAATAGATAAGAATAATTTTTTATTCAAAGTTTAAGGTGTCAAATAGAAATTGATAAAGGGGATTATATCACAACAATATCATATAAAATTTGTCTTTCTTTTACAAAAGTCAGTTGTGAATCTATTGTCATTAGACCTGACATCTGAATCTGAACCTATGGATACCACTCGAATTCTCTCTGTATTTGACAAAGAAAATCAATTGAGTTTGAGTTTAAGTTTGGGTTTTTCTCAATTACAAAATATGAGAATGAGTCAGGTAATGGAGACATTAGTACTCACCCTGAACTCATTTCATTTATATCAATTTTTAATTTATTATTTAGTTTTGTTAATTTAGAATATTAGTTGTATCGTCAATGCTTTTGTATTTTGGATTTTACTTTATAATTTGAAATGTATGTTTGAAAATTTTTCAATATTATTTTAATTTTTTAAATGTAATTTAATATTGAGTAAAAAGTCTATTACTATTAAAAAATTGATTACACCTCAGAGATGAAAGTGAAATGGGAATACCCGAACTCAACCCAAATCTACAAGTTTGGGGTTCAAGTTTTCATCCCCAACAAGGATCAGAATGAATAATAGATATTTATAAAATATTCAAATTTGGGTTTAGAGAAGGTAAAAAAAGTATCTACTCCGCCCTATTGTCATGCCAAAGAGTCATCTTGTCAACTACTATTTTTTTATTTATTCGCACAAATTTTAGCCAACACTTTATACATACAGCGCATTAATGATGTTGGCCACATGTTATGGACTAACAATTTGAAATTTAATTTGATAAAAATGCAAGGGGTTTACTTTTCTCATCAAAAGGTTGCTCTCATACTTTAGTAAAAAAAACTAAAACTACCCTTGGAATACGAAAATTTTCTTATGGGCGCGCCTCATTCTCACACAATTCATTCGTAAGTGAGTTAGACTTTAATTTTATGTTAAAAATTAATGCATAGATGCATTTGTATATACCTTACGGAAATGCGCATCCAGACAATTTTTAATCAAAAACGCGTCAGACTCTCATTTCCACCATACTCTCTCAAACTCTCAAGTTCTTTCATACTCTCTCAACTCACTTCTGAGTTTTTGCTCTCAACTTCCAATCAATCGAAGAGTTCAACATTAAACTCACATTTGATACTTTTTGATTTCTCTATACATACATTGGTAGAAATTAAGCATTAGGTTGTGTAATAGGTTGTTTAGATAGGTAGTTTAACCGAGCAATGTGTTTAATAGGTAGTTTAGATAAGCAATGTGTTTTGAGAATGTTGGATTTCCATGCATTTTTGCCATTTTCATTTTTTTTCTGAGGTGCAGGTTAATACGAAAATGCACTTTCGTATTGTTCAAAATTTGATTTTCTAAAAATCTCGAAAAGCATTTTTGTATTTGAAATGTCTGCATTGTTTGACTTGATTTTCATTATGTTTCATCCAGGTTAAATTTTTCCTACTGTGTATTGCTTATATAGTAGTTATAGACAACGTGGTTGATAACCAAGATCGAATGTGGCATGATATAGTGCCACAACATGCATTGGTTTACAGGAAAAACTTATGACCCTCACAATCATCAATCAATTCTAGTTCGATTGATGGAGAGGGGCGAACTTCTAGGGTTTAGACATCTTCGGGTTCATCTTTCAGGAGGAGGCATGTGTCACCTCCTGATGCCCCGAAAGCCCCACCCGTCTAGGTTCAGGCACCTTATGATGAAGAACATGATGTCAATGCATCTGTTCCCGTGGAGTTTATGGGAGACCCGCATGACTTATCATTATTGTCTTTAAATGTGGATCATGCTGCTATACATGTGTGAGAGGAAAAGGTAAAATTTATCTTTATTTATTCTCTGAAACAAATGTGTTACGATATTCGAACATTTTGAAGATATATATTTTTCTACAGTACCATGATACTTTAAAATGCATCAACCATGGTTGAAAGATTGTGAGGCTGCAACAGTCAGATGAGCTGACTGCGGTAGAACAGGTTGATGGTGATGATGAATAGGTTACGGAGAATAAAGCATGTGCATTAAGGACATATATGTTCTACTTGGTTGGCACGTTCATATTTGTGGACACAAATGTCTATTACACGAATGTGGTTTACCTCAGATACTTCACTGACTTGGAGCAGATTCATAAGTACAATTACATGGACGTTTGTTTTGTCAACTTCTACTCCAAATTAGCTGAAGGTTATCTTTAAAAGACCAAACATATGACAACTAGCTCCACGCTGTTACAATAATATAATTGCATCCTTTATTGTTTTTGTACCATTTTTATAACACTTGTACTACCAATTTTTAGGCATTACTAATAAATCATACGTACCATTTTTAGGCACGGATTCTCCAACACTTTCCACACATCTCAAGCTCATATGTTAATCGCTACACTGAGAATATGCCACGTGCTTGTGCATTCGGCCTACTTAGAAGGAATTAGGCGATTGAACCCTTGGGAGTGTATCTTGACAGCACATTAGCAGATGATATGTACTTTCAACCGTACGACATTCACTGTCAAACGCATTTCTTGAATGGTATAATCTTCTATTTTAGATAATTGGCTTGTGAATCACATCTTAGAATCCACATCTACCTGAACAAATCATGCACCAATTTAGGTGTATACAATTTGTTTCAAGCGTGGAAAAAATAACCCCAAACCAACTTGCCCTTTGAATAAAACTAACCTCAAATTCTTTAATTTTCAGCCAAAGACCATTTAAAAAACAACATACATTCATTCAGAACCTCTGAACTTTTAAGATTACGTAACTAACATACTGAACACAATCATGGTTGACATATTAAAAAATTGAGTAACAAAAAAAAGAGCTACCAGAACACACATACAACAACAGAACCAAGAGAGAAAGAAAGATCAAAATATGATTATAAAGAATAAAAAATAATTATAACTTTATTTTTAATTATATACAATACAATCACGAAAAAAGCTTATATCTTTTTAGCCTAGTCTAATGTGTAATTATATAAGGGGGTTCATGGAATCTACAATGACAGAATACATGCCCATAATAAGCCATTTGAATATCAAACTCGTGCCAGCCAGCCCCAGTAACTAATGAATAATGATAGTTTTCTCACCCGTATCTCACTCACATGTGACGGGAATTTAATTGGGAAGTGAATTTCATACGACAGAAACTGTGTTTACAACCATCACCATCCTTAAATAATTTTTTCGTCGCATCAAAATGTCCCGTCAAAATCAAGCCAAAGTTCATGGGATGCCAGGTCTGATTGTGAGATGAATGCTATAAGGTTTTAATGGCAGTCTGGTTTGTACATATGCAGGAGCAATCAGGTTCCTTTGTAAACAGCCTTTTCTCACGGTTAATCATCAATTTGATCAAGGGTAGTTTTTTCGAAACTTGGCGCCAAATCTCATTCACTGTCCCATCTGGTTCGTCGTATTCAAAGTATCGCTTCACCTGAAACAAGATAAATTAAGTAATCAAATGAAGTGACCTGGAATGCCAAGAATTACTTCTTCAACTCCTTTTATTCAGTTAGAAAATTTTAACTGCAAAAAGTCAGATTATATTTTGGAAGAAAGTTCATATAAAGTGAAACAGTAGCTAATATTTTAGTTAAGTTGGAGCTACTCAGTTGAATCTTGTAAAATTTTTACTTGTACAGCTACAAGGAAGCATAAATTCATGGAACTCAAGTACACCATAATACAAGGATTTAAAGGAGACCATGATTTACGACATTCATAAACGAAAGCAATGAAAATCTAACGTGTTACTTGCTTTATTTAAGTTCACTATTAAGCCTTGGTTTAATAAACCATGACAGTGTCGGTCTCACTTGGCATGAAGATTAAATATGTACTTATGCTAGCTAGGCATTTATTAGATACTAGAAACTCATAGGCGAGGATGAGGAAAAAGGATTATTGTTTTACACGAAAGAGACACACTCCAATCAAACTTAACATACAAAGTGTGTAAAGTACCTCAATAACAAATTAGCAAACTCATACTCATGACAAACACCGATGAATTACTAAAACTAAAATATTCGTACTGAAGTTAATCCCCTCTCCCCACCAATACAACAACTTTTGTATATGAAGGAAAACGACCTGGTAGAGGGAAAAATGAAACACTTTAGGCTACTAGTCTATAAGTAGCTATATTAACCAAAATCTGTCAAATATATATGATTCTATGTATTGATGCTGTTATTTATCTTTTGAATTGCTAAAAAAATGCAACAGGTGAAGAAAAAGACAGCAGAAAAAACACCTACAGATTTCATTGCAGAAGTTAACTGTGCTAGCAGTACTACTAACCTCTTTTAGTTCTTTCTGATACTCCAAAATTCTATCCGGGGTTATGCCTCTCAAAATTGACACCAAGTATCCTGGCTGTATTGCAGGAGCAGTTTCCACAAATACAGCAATCTTCCTATAGTCTATAGTGTCTTCAAAAGGCAACTCAATACTATCACTGATAATCACTGGAACGCACAAGCTAACAATTGCGTCAAATAATCGGCAAGCTGATGGAGTATCCCCCGCAGGATGTAAGCAAAACTTTGATGTATGCATTCCTTGTGAAGCTGCCCGCCGGCTCTCTCTGGATTGTGCTCCATGCTTTATTATAACATCTTTTTCTGTTTCTAGAATTTGAAAGAGTGTGTCTCGGATCTTCCCTCCCTGTAAAACCGACGAGGACAAATATAATTCAATATCACAAGAAACTATGTGTACGAATAAAATATCCGAAGCAAGGTCTATAATATTTCGAAAGCTGCCTAAATTATTAAAACTGCGGCATTACACGCAACAACGTTAGAAGTATTGGTTTTTCAGTTGGCAGCTGCATTTTCTTCTTCTTAATGCAGATAGAGCAAGTAAATATCAAACAATAATTAATCAATTAGGGAATCATAGAAACAGATTGAAATACAAATATAATACTGAATTTCAATTTGAGTCACTCAATTATCAAAATTATCACACAATAGACTATAATCAATTGCCCAATTCATTGAAAACATCATAGAAAACATAACATTACCTCTTTGCGATATCGATTTCCCATGAAAAACAACAAGGTGTTGCGTTTGTCAATACCAATGTCACCTGTATACGTTTTAATCCGATGCGAGTACGGCACAATCACATCCTTCACCAGAGATCCCTGGTCCAGTCGCAGCCGTCCAAAATCCGAAACGAGCAGCACGCAGTTCTTAACCTGATCAATTACCCGATACATCGCATTCGGATCAGAAGCCACAATCACGTGATCCCTTCCTTTACTTCTCTGCCAATACTCCTGCCTCTTTAGCCACTCAACCAATGCTTCCTGATTCTCCTCATCTACGTAAGCAGTTTTCTCCGGACCGGAACCGGGAGGCCGTACCGGGTTCACAATCAAGCTCAACGACGAGAAAAACGGCACGAAGAACAAATCCGCTTCCTCCGGATCTAAAACCCGAACAACAGGCGAACCCGCACGCTCCAAATCGGGTCGAGAGAGATCCGAAAACAAGTACCACTCCGCCATGTGCTGGTGACCTGGATACTTCAGAGAAGATAAATCGTTCTCATCAACGCGTGAGCCACGCGCGAGTGAATGATGGTGGATCACTCCATAGGTGAACCTCCGAGGAAGATCGTAGAGGTAAACCTTAACAGCAGGAAACGTAGATTTACCAGCGGCGAGAAGGATAGACGAGGCCGTGGCGGTGTTGAACGGAAAGGTAGCGGAATCAAAGGCGGAAGGATCATAGGATTGGAAAAAGGTGTTAGCGATAGCGTAGAGAGCTACGATAACGAAGAAAATTGCTAGGGTTCGTTTGAAAACGGGTTTTCGGGTCATGGTTGAAAACAGTGTTTGGAAACGAGAGAGAAAAGTGTGTTTAGGTTTTTTGCCTTTGGTTCCTTCTTCGTTCATGTTTTTTGGGTACCGCATCGCCACTTTTCTATTGTAGGTGTAAAAAGTTATATACCACTAGAGTAATAACTGCACCTAATGTTACACCATAGCTATACTAGCGATAGCGATGAATGAAAAAAAAAAGGTTATGTTATCTTTTTTTTCTCGAGATTGGTGTGAATGAATCAATGAACTGTGATCGCGAAATTGGGAAAGATGATATGAAAGGAAATTTCAGACTTCTGCAATCTTGTATGAAGGATTATTTGATTGTTTTATAAGTATAATTATAATTATCTTTAAAACATACGTCATGCCTATAATTATTGATGAGATTGGAGATTTTTTTTATTTAACATAGATATCTTAACAAAAAAACATACATAACTTTCACTCTAACTATTTTTTATTTTGAGAGCTCTTTTTTTTATTAGTAGCTAAGTTTTTTTATAACTAATTAATATCTATTTTTTTTAATATTATTTATTTTAAAAAATTTAATGCTTTATTATTTGAAAAACTAGTTAATTTAATTTTCTATTATTATTTTTTTGGTACAATATTTTCTATTATAATTAACATGTATTGCTAACACATTAACAATTTATTAAATAATTTTTGTATTTATCATAAACATTTCAATAATTTAAACAGAAAATATTATTATACCTAACATATTTTAAAAGAGTTAAATTGATACGGACGGATAATATGAAATAATTTTACATTATTATTTAATAAAAATTTATTAATCTGCTATGTCATATCATTAATTTAAAATTTACATAAAGATGTGGTAGAATACGTTATGGTGGTTAATTGACATTGTAACATTTTTTCATTTAAAAATTTAATAATTTATTTTATTATATATTTTCTATAAATTATTGATTTTTTTATTTTTATTATTTTTAAAAGTTTGTATAAATATCTCAATAAATTACTTATATTATTTCAACAAACGAATTTTTTACACAAATAACCATGTTTCCTTATAATATTATCTAATATACTCACATTTTCAATAGATTTTTCAAATTACCTAAGTTTCAAAAAAAAAAAAGGTTTCTCCTTAAAGGAAATGCCAATAAGAATGGCTCCCCCTTTAAGATCTAAAGAGAGGGTGTCATTTGGGGTGAAGTCACCTTAGAATTTAGGAGGGGCGTTATTTAGGGTGAAGTCACCTCTTAAATTTTAAAGAAAGAGTCAAATGCATTGGAGTCACCTTATTTCGTGATAAAATATTTAATTTTTATTATTTCATATATTATATAATATTATAACATTTATTATTATTTTATTTGAAATTTTTCTTGTATGAATAAATGTCATGACTTGCATATTCTTTCACACTTAAATTGTCATTGTTTCTTATAATTTTAGCAGATTCAATTATGTATCTTAGAAGATATGTGTCGCACCTCGAAAAATTCATTGAGAACACGACCCTCGCGCTAAAGGCACAGAATGCAGTTCGACAGAGTCGCCACCGAACTTTATTTATCCTGAATAAATGGGAAATGAAAATATCGAGAAAACCTTTTAAACGAAAGACAAGAACGATGGTCATCGCAACCACGTTCTAGGTTCGGGAGTCGGTTACACGAAGGGAAGGTACCCCTCACGTCCGTTGTACTCAACAGGAACCTCTTAGTACGATTTGTGATGGGTGTTATCTAAGCTTGTTTGTTTTCTTCTCAATGATAAATGCGAACTGGTATGATAAAAGGATAATAATGCTAAGGGAAAATGGATGGTTATAGGATATGGTGCTCGACAAGGATTGGGGCTCTTGTGCTTACGTATGCTCACTCGGACGGGAATAAGAAATCAGAGCTTCGTAGTTCGACTACGGGAAAGGACGGGGGGGAACGGAAGGTGAAGGGAATTGTGGAATGGCGGAGAAAAATGAAAGTGTGATCGCCAAGATCATCGCAATCTTGTGCCTATGTATCTTACATTCAGACGAGAATGAAGAATCGGAGTGGTCGTAGTTCGTGGAGACGACCACGAAAAGATGGGGGTTAAATTGGTTGAAGTTTGGTTTGGAAACGAAAGATTGACTGACAAACAATCCAAGGGGCGTGCCTCGAGAGTTGTCACTCAAGAATTCAGGGAATGCGATATTCCAAGAACTCAGTTCTTTCGGGAATTGATTGAAAAAGATTTTAAGGAAAGGTTGAACGTTTTGAATTCGAAAGAGTGAATGAATACAACTCAAGGGGCATGCCTCGAGAGCTACTCATTCGAAAATTCAAGGAATGCTAGACTCCAAGAATATCCTTTTTTTTGTAAGTTTGATTGCAAAAATGTTTGAATAGAGATTAGGTGTTTTAAGAGGAAAGGGTGAATAAATGACAACCTAAAGCCTGCGCCTCAAGAGCCACTCATTCAAAGATTCAATGAATGTTAGACTCAAAGAATCTTCTTCTTTTGTTATTTGTTAATAAAAGCATTTGGATAAAAGATATAATCGAATAGGTTGTGAAAAGAGGTGGACTGCAAGGCAAAAGGCACTCGACTTACAGCCTTGATAAAATACCGCTTGACGCTAGATCAAGGGTTTGTTTTTATTTGCGTGCAAAGACGCGTCAGTTAAAAGAAGGTCGATTTGAAAATGGCTCGACGACGAGTCAAGGGTTTAGTGGAAAATGGAGTCGGCTTGACGATGAATCAAGGGTCAGGTTGTGAGAAACGATACTAGTCCCTGATGGTGCTTCTAATAACGAAACCACGATGAAATATGAAAGTGTGTGCGACAGGTTGATGGCGAATGCGTACGAGCACTCGACTTACGGAGGGTGTTTGAAAGTGGCTCGACGACGAACCGAGAATTAGTTTGAAAATGGTTTAGTCTACGTTAGTCCCTAAGGGTGCTCCTAGAAGATAACCCACAATCAAAGCAATATGAATGCGTACATCGAAATGGGAGAGGGATACATGTAAATTATACGGGATTGCACGAAATAAATGGTCTCATTATAAGGTAGCCCAAGAGAAAGTCGTGTGTGTGCAAAGTGTCCTAAACTAAGCCTTAAGCAAAAGTCGAACAAAACTCCAAGCTAGGGTTTCTGACAAAGTCCAATAATCCGTTGCTCGGATAAGTAACCAACAGTCCACCAATTTAGGCTTTTTGGTTTCGATCGTTTATTATGTGTTTTGAAAAAAATGTGAATAAGAAATGAACAAGATGAATATGAATAGTTATGAATATTATGGAAAGACATATAACAATATAATCAAAATAATATTCATAATAGTATAAACAAGATAATATTAACAGGTACATGAACAAGATAATAAAATCAAGATATAATGACTGAAATTAAAACAAAAGTATATTGATTAAAAAGTAAAAAAATAATATGTTGACGAAAAGTAAAGTTAGTCATTAGTTTGATTTGTGAATTGAATTGGGACGAAATGCAGCGCTAAACCGTCATAGTTCGATCTATGACGAAGATCAAGCTATAGGAGGTCGCACAAGTTGATATCCATGCTAAAAGAACACGATGGAGAAATGATATTGAGGACCATTTTTCAATGTAATCGTGTCACACGGGCCAAAAAGCGGGTGATCTCGTTTTAATCACAAACTTGTGTTAATTAATCAAAGGTAACCTATCATGATCCCAAAGTATAAAAAATTATCTCAGTGATCATTTTTTACAGATTTGACATAATGAAGGTTATCAACCTCAATAAATCAACGTTTGCGAATAAAAGACTTTCATTGATCGAAATTGAAATACAATAGAGATGAAAAAGATGAAGAAGAAAATGAAAATAGAAAATTAAATGGTGGTCTCATCTAAATCACTATTTTATTGATAAATCGATAATAGTGACATTTGGCTTCTTCATTGACCCAAAATGAAGATAAAGTGAATAAAATCAAAAATGAAAAGATAACCAAAATATAACAAAATAGCTAACAAAGAATTTAACCAAAACTAATTGAGATTATCAACAAAATGATTAAAAAAAGAAGTATAAAAAATTAACAAGATTCTCAATAAAATGTTGGCAAAATTATATTTTAAAAAATATTTAAAGAAAATTGAACAGGGGTGTAAAAAAAAGTAGGTACATTAAAAAAAATAAAAAATGGGATCATTTGGGCTTTACAAAGTCCATCACCCAAAAAAACGTTGTTGTTTAAATAAGGGGGGAATAAAATTACATGGGCCTTAAGCCTATGAGCAAAACACACAGTTAAAAAAAAAAGAGTGGTACCCAAAAAAACACACATGTCATCATGGATTGTACAACCCATGCTCAAACAACTCCAAAACCGGGTTAACAAGTACCAAGTCACGCAGGGAATCAATATCAACATCACTTTCTTTTTGAAAAGAACATTATCATGGTCAAACGAGAAACAAAACTTCAAAAGCCACAACGAAAAGAACCAAGAACAAACCTAAGATTAAACTACATTGTTCCAACCTTCTTCTACAAATTTCTCGTGTCAGAAACAAAAGAAAGCAAATTGTGACTCGATTTCGCCTCTCTCCTTGCCTCGTCTCAGGTTCGTGTGTTTTGAGATTTTGATTTCAGATTTGGATTCCGCTTTTGATTCGTTTTTTCTTTTCATCTCAGTCTCTCTTTCTGTTTCTGGATTGTGAGTTTTGTGTCGCCTTCATTTAACCTCTCTCTCTTTTCTGGTTTTATTCTGAATCTGATTTGGGATTTTGTTTTAGGTTTGGTTTGAGTTTTTGGGTTTTTTGAAGGTTTGAAGGAAGTTGAAGGGTATTTATGGCTGGAATTTGGCGAGATGAATTTGTGAGAGAAAAATGTGACGTTGTGGAAGGTGTGGGTCGTGTAATCTGATTTTGCGTCACTTTCGCCTTCAAGCCGTGTTGTTTTGGTGCGTATTTGTTGCCAAATGGATCGTACGGAGTCATGTTGCTTTTGTTTTACAAATTTGGTTGTGGGGTCGTACGAATTCATTCGTTGAGCACAACCTTTTTGCAGGTTGCGAGTGGGTGTTAGATTTGAAGCATTGTCGTTGAGGTGGTGTGCATGGTGAGTCG